AGACTATGATGTTTGTAGTAAACTGCACACCAAATTCAGCACTTTGATTCTCCTCTGCATCCGCTGAACATCTGCTTCAGAAGGAAGCCCTCCCCACCCTGCCCTTGAGAGTCCTCCAACTCCTTTCTAGGATGTGTTAGGAAATCATTAAGGGGGGGGGGGGTATATTGACTCACTGTCGCAGGTCTAAGCAGCACCTCCCTTGGGGCAGCTGCCTCCTAAACCCATTCACACACAGATCTCCCATTCTTCTGCTAAAAACAGCTCCGAACCATCATTACTCGACTGACCTTCTGACTGTGACTCACCAACATCACTGCATCCGAAAGTCTGGTTCGTTCAACATGCAGAGAGACTTCTTTACAATTCTGTGTGAACACAAATTAAAGCCTCGATTTGAATTGAAGAGATACAGTTGAGCATCACTTTAACTTCTTCTTTCTCCTGCATAATATTACCCTAACAGGATTTTGGGTGGGGCACGGTGGAGATTTTGGAGGGATGATGACTGTCAGATTGAGGAGTACCAGGCGATTTCATTCAGTAAGAGATGAGTGCCATCTGGAGGATGAAAACAGTTGTGCACGGATGGTAAGGAAGACCACTCCCAAACTTTACACCATCACACACCAGCTTCAGGGATGCTTATGCTTAAACATACAAACACAAGTGACAAGTGAAAGCACTTACAGTGACTTGTTGCTGTAAGAAATAAATACATAAATTTGCAGCAGATAATTGAAAAGATTAGAAATTTCTGACTCTAGTAACATGCCAGTTCCCTGGCATGAAGATGACTGACACAAGAGCACCATCTAGTGTTGCAAGGGAGGAATTACAGTTTTTTTCTTTTTTCTTTTAAGAAGACACAAAGTTCAAATTACATTTCTCTAGACTAAATGTTAATTCCATGTTACATGCCAGTGTGCCACATATCAAGTCTGTACAACATGTACTCCTGCAGAGGAATGACAGCAGCCCGGCGTTCTCAAGGAAACCACGGCAGGAAGTTACAGTGTCAGCCCTCCAGTGGCATAAATAATAGATAGCTGAGGAGAAGCTGGGAGCTTTTAGCTGACATAACAAGCCACTCCATATATTACATCCACTTAGACATATCATCTCAAATTACATATGCAGCGGGTGAGGCTGAAGGGCGACAGGAGCGTCTTCCATATGCTGACTCAAGGGTGGAGCAAGTGATATTTCCATTTAATAACAGACTTGTGACCATACCTTCTCATAGGATAACTGCTTAAACGGGCCAAAAAGACTACTTTTGTTTTGCAACGTATCCAAAACAAAATTCAGTGCAAAGTTATTAAAAAGGAGAAACTGAAATATCACATTGACATAAGTATTCAGACCCTTTACTCAGTACTTAGTTGAAACACCTGTGGCGGCAACTACAGCCTCAAGTCTTCTTGGGTATGGCGTGACAAGCTTTTTGCACATCTGGATTTGGGGATGTTCTGCTCCTCTACAGATCCTCTCAAGCTCTGTCAGGTTGGACGGGGACTGTCGGTGAACAGGTCTCTCTAGAGATGTTCAATTGGGGGCTCTGGCTAGGCCACTCGAGGACGTTCACAGAGTTCTCTTTAAGCCATTCCTGTGTTCTTAGGGTCATTGTCCTGTAGGAGGGTGAACCCCCAGGCCTAGTCTGAGGTCCTGAGTGCTCTGGACCAGGTTCTCATGAAGGATATCCCTGTACTTTGCTCCAGCCATCTAGGAAGGGTCCTGGTTGTTCCAAACTTCTTCCATTTAAGAATTATGGAGGCCACTGTGCTCTTGGGAACCTTCAGTGCAGCAGAAATCTTTTTTGTAGCCCTTGATCGGTGCCCCGACACAATCCTGTCTCTAAGCTCTGCAGGCACTTCCTTCCTCTTCGTGGCTTGGTTTTTGCTTTGATATGCATTGTCAGCGGTGAGACCTTATAAAGACAGCTGTGTGCCTTCCAAAATCATGTCCAATCAACTGAATTTACCATAAGTCTGGATACTTTTGTCAATTCAGTTTTTCATTTTTAATAAATTGCAAAAACTTTGCAAAATTCTGTTTTGCCTCATCATTGTGGGAATTGAGTGTCAACTGATGAAGGAAAAATATAAAATTGATTTTAGCATGAGGTTTCAAAATAACAAAATGTGAAAAAAAGTGAAGGGGTCCAAATACTTTCTGAATGCACTGCATATTTTCTGTACACAAGTATAACATTACTAGGCTCCACCAGCTGAGGGCAGCATTGACCCAAATATGATCCTAACAACAGGAGAGCTAAGAAAAGCGTCACCTCAGGCTGCTATACCACACCTCCCCCTGGCTTAGAGGCTAATCCATCCTGTATATATTCACACAAAACTCAGCCTGCTGCATTAAGTCAGCTCCATTCTCCATTTATAATGCAATACGTCTTACGCTCCTCTGTACCGCCACAGGGCTGTGTACTGCATGCTAACTTAAATAGCTTGCCATTCAGGCTATTTTAGTGAATGGATTTGAGTGTTATTAGGGCACCACAGCAGCTTGGTGTTAGCCTATACACACACACATACAACAGCTTTCTCATGGGGATACACTGACTTAGTGATCCTATATATGAACCACCTGAGGCTTAGCTGTCAAAACAACGCAGCATTCCAGCACCAGAGCTTAGCCAATCGAATGATAGCTGTTGTGTCATGGTAACAATCTCCAGCGGGGAAAATACAAAAGGGATGGGCAGATATGTAATCAGGGGAAATGATGGGAGGTGTAATAGGGTGAGGTGAGATCAAGAAGAAAAATAGTTCCTTTTGCTGCGAAGGGAAACGTGAACAGGAAACATGAGTAAATCACTAGCTTAGAAACAAAATGAAACCTGCACTGAAACTACACATTAATAAAACATTCTGCTCTGAAACTAAGAAAAGCACAAAAAAGGTCAACAACACAGACATTAAACAAGATTAAAATACACAACATGTGATCGTGCGAGACGTGGCCAGTCTCATGTCAGAGCTGCCAGGTTGTCGTGTGAGCAGTGACCCAGCGCCCTGTAGTTACAAAAGCACACAGGCCTTAGGAGGGGCAGGCGGGGGGGGGGGACAGGAAGCCGGGAGCACCTACATTACTCTACTCCTTTTTATGGTCCACAATGCACTTCATTTCCTGAGCCAGCATTACACATACTCCCACAGCATGGCACATTAAGACTATAATAATAGGTATAGGTGCACCACACGAGGTCCTACATAATGACATCTCTGTATAGGTGCTAAAAATGTTTAAACCTCAGTGACAAAAGGCAAAGATTTTGAGTCAATTGCCAATTGAGTTGTCATTTTATTAATACAGGCCATTACATGAGAAGTTAGCCTAACCTTGAAAACCAAAAAATAGAGGTTAAATTTAGCAGCAAGATTTTCAAAATAAAAGAAAGTGTCAGTTTTCCAATTGCATTTCTACAGTTTTTATAATGATTTTATTTATTAAGCAAATGGATCAGTTCCCATTCAAGTTTTTTCTTTGTTAAAATTCAGACTGTAGGAGGTGAAAAGATACAAGAAGGACAGGATTTGATTCTGCACAGGCTGGGGAAGAGTGTCCATAAAGACCAATGTAATGTCAAGCCAATGTTAAGCCATTGTAATGTCCATAGTTACAATTTTTTCCCCTAAAATGTGACGTGGATCTTTTTTTTTTTTTTTTTTAAATAGTCATTTTCAAAGCTCTGGATCGAATGTATATGAGGTGAAAAGTTAGACCACAAGGTATACAGCATTTAACCTGTACTTGGATATCATTCATTCAAACAGAATTTGTATTAACAGCAAAGTCATTGAGACAACAGTTATACAAGTTTTCCAACCACCTATAGTGAGCCCACATCAGCATGGAAAACACCATCAGTGGAAAGAAAACAAAGCAACTGACTCAACAGCCATTTAGAGAAATGCCTCCATTGATTCAAAGTCCTTCAGTGTGCACCACGACCTAAATTACTTTAGAAACAATAGGAGAAATTCAGGCGCACAAACATGAGTGGCGTTAGGTATGTTGCCCATTAATCTCAATAACCTGCTTTTCAAGCACTGCGGTCAATTCAAATTAGGATCAGATATAAAACAGACATAAACAGACATGCAAACAAATAACTGTAGATGGTAATCTGGAATGCAGAATGAAAGCTTACAGCATGAAAAATAGTCTAAGGGTCATATTTGCATTGGTGAATCAAATACAGACATGCAACTCATGGACTTGGAAAGAGGAATTAAATGATAAGATCACATTTGGCTGTCACGCTGGCTGTGTAGAGATCTCTTCCCAACACTATTCCAGTATAATAGATATAATAGAAAATCCACAGTCTAATATATGGACGTGGATAAAACTGCAAGTAAAGGTAATATGACGCTTCAGCATATTATGTGTGTATCATCCAAACATACACAGTCTTTTTATTCCCTCTTACTGTATTAAAACATGTATTTGGAGGGTATCTGTATGCTACAAAAGCTTCAGCTGCTGAAGCTTCAAATTGGCTTTTGCTGAACTATGAACTGCACTGTTGCGCAGAACAAGGACTGCAGACTCTGTCCCCCACCACCTACATTGGACCTGCATTAAGTAGGGACTTCTTCACAGCCAGTATGGACACTCTTGAACCGATCTAGAGTTGAAACAATTCGTCGACTAATCAAGTAGCTGATCGACAGGAAATTAATCAGCAACAATTTTAATATTCGATTAATTGATCAGGTAATTTTTTTCAGAAAAAAGATAAATATTACTCAGTTGTAGCTCCTCAGTTGTGAGGGTTACCTGCATTTCTTTGTCCGGTGTTATAGTAATTCAAATATCTCTAGGTTTTGGACACTAAATACACCACACAGTTAATAGATCATTTGAGACAATAATCTGCAGATCACTCAGCAATAAAAATAGGTGTAGCCCTGAACCAATCATTTAAAGGTAAACTTTCCCCAGGCTTACAGGTGAGACGTGGCACGCGGACTTACCAGCAGTGGAACTGTGTGTGTGACTATCAGTCAGGAGCAGGGAGGCCCGGCCTGGTAGGTGGCCCCGGGTCACAGTCCTCCAGCAGAGGTCAGCCTCTGAAACACAGGTCGGCAGTCACACACAACGTCAAAAATTAAACTATCAGATAAGGTTTAACAAATCGAGGGCCTGAAAAAATTCACACCAACAGCTCGAGACAACCTTTAGTAGAATACCTGAAGGACTATTTTTTCAAGTGCATTTTCAATGGAGCAAATGGCACTTTGTTGGACAACACAACTGGTGCAGACTTCACTCACACTGGTTACACCCATTGCAAAAGGCTACATGTCATTTTGGTTCCCTTTTACTCTCTGTAATAACTCACTAAAGTCAAGCAAAAGGGAAATATAACTTTACCAGAGATGAAACAGTTACCGTGTTGAGGATGCAATAACAGGGTTGTTCTTATGTCCTACTGTACCTTCCTTCTGAAATATGGGCTGACAGCTAACAAGAGGTTTTAAAAAATATGGAACAAATAGACGCACATAAAAAAAAGAAAAAAAACACACCACTTCCTATTGTGCAACACTTCCTCTGATTCACTTCAGGTTTTTCTACAAGCCTCCCTGCTTCCTCCTGTATGAGCGCCACGACTTAATTCACTCCAGCTCCAGCTCACGTTCATGTCTTTTGATTTGAAAAGAAAACCAATGCAAAGTGCTAACTGAATAGGCAATATAAAGGTTATCCATTTGTGATCAAAATATTTTAATCTTAAATAACACCTTTCAAATGCCAGTCCGACCAAAGTACGACAGCAGTCACCTCAGAGCTCTCAACACAGTCTCCGTAAGCCACAAGCTCCTTTCACAAGTTGTGCAGCCCTAATTGAGAATACAAGCTCAGTAGACTGTGAGACCATTAGGACCAAGGCACTTCTCAGTTCACCAGCCTGCATACAAATGCACGGCAATAGCGGCGGTGTTGGTCATGCATGAATGTGATCAGACTTCAAACCCTGAAACTTCAAACCCATGAGAATGGTGAGAGCTGAGGAAGAGTCAGACGGGGGGGGGGAGCAGATATGATCGAATACGATGCGGTGAAAAGGGCAAGCTACAGAAATAAAAGCAAGAGTGGACTCAATTCTGAAATAAAAAAATAAGTAAATAACATCCCTCTGAATCTGAGAAGTTAGGTGTGACAGCCTCTTTTCTTATCCTTCAGTCCGTCAGAAGCTTTCCTTTCATGCAAACTGACCGCGACCTGCTCTTAATCCAATAGAGCCGACGTGTCACAGGGGAAATTCTGAGTGACATCTGTGGCGCGACATCATGGGAGTCAGCCCTGCATCATGCCTACAGCTGGAGGGCACAGCATACGGCCGATTCACCACCCCAAATAAGCACATGAGGTTATAGAGGTTAATGTTAGACCTACAGTATGTGGAGCAGTGCATTAGGATTTCTAATGATATATATATATTTTTTTATTATTATTATTATTAAAAAGGAAACAGGATGAGTAGAACAACAGAGAACCGGCCTTGCTTCTATAATATGATGGAAACAGTTGATAATTTCGGCCTGCCGATGGCGCTAGAATAAATCACCAAAGTTATTACTAATCATCCTGACAGGGATATGAACGCATGAATGCCATGACGGTCAATACAATAGCTGTTAAGACATTTCACTGACCACAAATATGAACCTCATGATGGGGGCTAGAGGAAAAGTCATAGGATCACCAAAGATATTAACATACATCCTCAGGGGACAATGAATGCACAGCAATTGACTGAATAGCGGTTGAGATATTTCAGTGTTGCACCAGCTGACAGACACCGTCATCCCTGCAGCTAACATAATAAATCTGAGGCTACCTGAGCCTCCATCTTGTCTATGATTCTTTTCCTCCATCCGTTATAAATGTTTAATTAAACTGTTAACTAGACTGTGGCAAATGGATCACAATTCAAACCACCAATCTTCTTTTGAGGTTTATGGCTCGTACTGTATAATATAGGACCACTGTCATTTACTGCAGTGGTGATGTGGGAACGGACCCACATGATGAGCTCATTCAAGTGTGTGCGCATGTGTGTGTGTGTGTGTGTGTGTGTAGTGATTCAACTTTGCTCATCCCTCCGAGCAACAATTAAATCCAGGCTATCAGGAAAACGACATCACAGTTAACCAGTGTAAGTGCTCAGTGTTTCAAATACCTCGCAGGCGTCTATTTGTCTCGTGACAAGTTCTTTGTCCTGAAAACTTGAAAGAAGTCACTTAAATAAAAGACCAAGTCGGGGAAACAGAAGATGAATGGCAGCAGGGTGTTTAGTTTAAGAAATGAGAAATTCAAAAATGCTTAAATCAGAAACCAGAACCTCAGTAAATTCCACACAGTTCACCGACAAGGTCTGATATTGCTTCATTCCCACAGGATCAGAGGCAATAAAACCAACGCTGCACAGTGTATTTGCTCTGAACTAAATGCTCACTTCCTGCTGTTTCAAATACTTATTTCCTTGTTTTGATTTGTCACTTCCAGAGAAGTGGACAGTGGCCGCATACACAAAGTGGATGTGAAAATGTTGTGGTCAAGAATTGTCTTATGAGGCTGAAACATCACTACATCTCCAGTTTTTAAAAAGGAGCAATAATGATGAAGTCAACATACATATACGCATACATGTTTGTTGGAGTTTCATTTGTTCCACCACACGAAGGGATCGATAAATTGTGGGTCAACATGTGTGGGCCTGCTGCAGACTGTGTGGTACGGACAGAAAAACAAGTGCTGAATCCGTCTATAGACCAGAGCACCGACAAGATCAATAGGATCTATATGTGGAGCCCGTCCATTTGTCACGCACATGGATAAATATGAGGTATTATATATCTGAATGTATTTCACATGGTTCAGTCCCAGTGCGGCACAGTGCATTCCATTTAGTAGCTGTGCTGCAGCTCTCTATCATGTCGCGTCATCTTCCTCAGCAGATGATGTTATCCAGTTTTGACTGTAGATGCTCCATTTTCTAAAGCAGTTTATGAATGTTTCGTCCATGCTGGTTTAAAAGTGACTTTTTCCGGTGAGGCCAATTTTGTCGACGACTGTTTCTACGGTCGAGAATTATTTTTTAAAACGTAACTTTTAAGGCCACGAGGATGAGAAGTCCTTGAAGGGCCCAGAAACATGGAAATTTGAACATCTACAATTGCATAACAACTGGGTAGAGGAAGACTCTGTGATGCAATCGAAAGCCTCAGAACTGCTACTAAATGGACCTTGTAGTGAGACTGCTGAGTCCATTTCAAGCACTAATTAATCTGATATGAGTGTCCATGATATATACTGTACATGCTGTACAACTGTAGTGTGCGTGTGTGTTTGTTTGTGTGTGTTATGAAGAATTGAGCACACAATTGAAACATGTGGCACTTGAAAATCAGCGCTTGTGGTGTTGGTTTCGACACCACTGAATAAAACTTCCATTAAAACTCAAGTTGCCATGACAACTTGTACTCCCCTCTCCCTACTGGTGAGCGAGAGCTGAGGAGGGATATCGACTGAAGGTGCTGAAAGCCAACAGAGCACAGTGGAGCCTCTGTGGAAAATCATTTCATTAAGAAAACTCCCACAGCTCAGTAACATGGACTGGAGATGCTCCAACCGAAATGTCACGACAAATGACTTGTGGAGCGCTCGTTCCTCTCCGCTGGATTCTGACAGGGTTTGCATCACGTCAGGCAATTACAGCCAAGCAGAGAGTGGAATAGAGGTCTATTATTAGTATTACCGCCATTTTTATTATTATAATCACTAGGAGCTTTTGTAAGGAGCAACTTAGAGTCTTCCAACACCAACAATACAAAGTGCAGTGCAAAGTGTGTTTAACAAATAGATAAAAACATTTTCACATGGAGGAGAAAAAGCAAATGAGCTATTCATTATGCATTTGGATATTAATCTTAAATTAACTAGGGCTGCAGTTAGCATTGATTAAACTGTTGATTATTTGTTTGATCGATAAAATGTCAGAAGAAGAAGAAAATGTCCAAGGTGACATCTTCATATCAACAGTCCAAATCCCAAAGATAGTCTGTATGCTTTAAACTATAAAAAAAAAATTGTTGCTGATAATTTTCCATCGATAAACTAACCACTGCAGCTCTTCTGAAAAATAAAAACCGCTAATAAAAAGCCCTATGTGCTCTACAACAGCTTTGTCCAAAAGAGGAACGTAACCATTTATCACTACAATAAACATCTCAAGGACACACACCTCTATGACTCAAATATATCAGGATGTGAAATTCTAGGGTCTAGACTTGGTTTAATATGAATGTAGGGGCAGCTGGGCACAATTCCACCTCGGGTTTATGTGACTGTTTAACACTAAAGGAGTATGAGGATGAAGGTTTGATGCGGGGGCAGCACGGCAACAGTTTCATGCGAAAAAAAAAAAAAGAAGCTGAATTTCCTGCTGGTCTGCCATCTGTGGCAACACCCCTCCTCTATGTGTCCACTGACATGTAGGCGGCCACATGAGGATCTCACGCCTGCCCGCTTCAACATGCTACAATAAAAGGCATCACAGATTTTTAACCACTGGCTGCAGCAATAAACCCACTTTTCCTTTTAGCGATTTGATCCCTAATGTGTCTTTTCTCTGATTTGAGCCTGGAGCACATTTCTTTGCATGTGTGAAAGGTGTGTGTGTGTGTGTGTTGGGGGGCCATGTTATTTATAGCCTAATGTTGAGAGATTCAATGCAAAGCACACTCTGCTTTTCTTTTCCCCACATTTACTGTGAAGATGCTGCTGCGGCGCACAGGGAGGGACAAATGAAAGCATCCTGTCAGAGGCCTCTGGATGGACCGCCTGCAGGACCTCTCCTCTCATTATGTGCATGCTCCGGGCTTCAGATAAGCCAACATCACAGGACGGAAGTGAGAAAGTTGAGAGGAATGCTCGAGTCGACCAGCACAGCCAGCGCCGCCGCTGCACATCAGAAACTGGCACACACGCTGACTCATACACATCAGAGACTCACATCAAAAGTGTATCACTTGCCGCCGCTGAAGGCTAC